CTTTTCCTGTTATCGCTAACTCATAAATCCTCCATATATCATACAACCAAGGAGAGCAAGAAAATAAGACAATAATAATCAAACATAATGTGTGGCTATAAACATACACAAACATGTGACAAATCGTAAAAACCTCATACCCGGTCAATATCAAATAAATAATATATACAAATATAAAATATATATGAAATGCATTGAAAATGAAATACTGATAATGTAAAGATTTCTTTTCATCATATGGCACTCAATACTGATGCATTTATAAAAATCTGTGTTTCAAACAGCTTGCTGAGCTGTCATTCTCCATCGCTATGTGAACCCTACATTGTTCTACAAACAGATTGCTGCCAGGCACAGCTAAGAGAGCAGCGCAACTGCCAGCATATTAAACTGTGCGGATGCAAACCAAAGACTGAATGGTTGCATCTGTTCATACAAATATTTGCCTACTCAACAGTCTAACTGATCACTGAACAACAATCTCTATAGTTCGTGTTGTAAGAGAACAGCAAGCACTTTATATTAATAATGCCAAATGCATTCCACAAACAGCAATACCATTGCTTTGACTTTGATATCATAGTAAGCAGCTTAGTGAGCTGAAATGATTTCCTGTTAAGCATATTTGCATAAAAGTAATATGTCCATCGTTGGGGGAAGCCGGATTGGTTCCCCAACGATCTTACTGGGACATCCCAGGAGAAAACAGGGGTCTTGGGTGGGGTAATTACCGTGATTAATATGCAAATTTGAATATGAATATTGATGAGAATATATGAATATGCAGAAAAGCCACATATCTTAACTGGACTATTCAAAGTAGTGACCATAATGCTTTGCACGTGCAAAAAGGTCTCCAAAAGTGCGGGAGGGAGTGGCTAGGACAGAGAGGACATGTGCCCTGAGGCTCCTCCCAGGGGTGGGGTTTATATTATCTTCATCAGGGTTTATGGAGGGAATGTGCCACATTTATAAATGAGAACTATATGTAAAAAGTCAGTCACCAGGGGAGCAGACCTGATGGGGAACTAGTCCCATATCTTAACTGGACTATGCAAAGTAGTGACCATAATGCTTTGCACGTGCAAAAAGGTCTCCAAAAGTGCGGGAGGGAGTGGCTAGGACAGAGAGGACATGTGCCCTGAGGCTCCTCCCAGGGGTGGGGTTTATATTATCTTCATCAGGGTTTATGGAGGGAATGTGCCACAGTTCTGGCCTTATGGTAGGAACGGTTGGTTCTCTTGATGGAGTTCTTAAAGGGTCATGGGTAAGGACAGTCAATTGTATGTCCATCCATGTAAAAGTCCTTCTCTGTGGTCTAGTTTCTGGAGGGTCCCAGTGCCTCCTCATTTGAACTGGTCCACGACCATGGGCTGGGTAGGGAGAGAGTTTGGCCATGGCCCAGTAGTCCTTTGGGTTTGGGACCTCCACTGAGTCTGAAAGAGCTCTACCAAGTACTGGTTGGTCGGCTTCAGTTGATCATGAGGAGAGAAGTTTGCTTGGGTTTGTCTTTGGCTAGGTGGGCTACAGTGCCTTGCCCCAGGAGCCCCCAGGGGTTCAAGGAAGAGCCCAATCTCGTTCTCTTTGAGAGATGGAACAGTTGATTGGACCAGTTATCACACCAGTGCACGTTTTTGGGTCCAATTTTATGGTAGTTTTTGTGCACCCATCACAGGCTTACAATAGTAGGAGCTCGGATGCCTTCAAGTATCAAACACACTATGATAAAATATGTTTCAAAGAAAAGTCAGGGGATCCATTTGGATGTGGAGATATTAAACATAGTAAACCTATAACCACAGTGAAAGAAATTGGATTTTTTCTTTCCATTAATGTTTTTTTTATATGTTAGAAATAAATATATATATATACATTTATAAATGAGAACTATATGTAAAAAGTCAGTCACCAGGGGAGCAGACCTGATGGGGTACTAGTCCCTTATCTTCCCCATCAGGCTCTGGCCAACCACTAATAAAACTTCTCTGCCGCTGTGCCACTGTGTGACAGGTGCAGCGGCCGTGGGAGGTGGGGGGTTGCACTAAAGACACTCCAGTCTAAGCGCACCTCTGTACTGCAAATGGCAGTGATTGCACCAAATTCATATACCTGTCTCCAACAGGTTCATTAATCTGGGGCAAGCACCAATATTTGTCCTGCAGATGCACCACAGGGTTCTAAAGAGTGCCATACACAATCTTTATAAATTCCAGGTTATATTTTTAATCACCTTCTACGCTTTCAGCAGTGTCTGAGGATCTGCATTCCAGAGAGATGCAACTGCTTCCTTTCCCCGCTCCTGGCAGCAGCCAGTAAACCTGCATTGACAGTCGTTGCAGATCACATGAAGCTTCCCCAGTCACTGGCAGAACCTCCATTAACATCAGAGCCAGGAAGAGGGAGCAGCTGCATTTTATTCTGGAAAGAAGGGTCTATGAAACCTCCTGAAGTGTTGGGCATGATTTAAAAATATTAGGTTTATTTCTAGCATGGTGGGGGATCCAAAATAAAAGAAAGCGAGAAGTGGTGACAAGGTTTCTTTAGGTGCATATGGATTCTTTTTAATTTTTTTTTTCTTACATCCAGTGCTCTAAACCTAAAATATGTATCCGTCTGCTAGAAATATGGGAGAAAAAATGAATAAATCTTGGAGCACAAAATAAACCCATATTCCATGAAGAAAGTCCTACAGCTGAGTCATATAAACGTGACTTGTCATAGCTTAGTCTAGTGCTGTCAAAATAATTCCGTTTTGAGCAAGGTTTTTGTAACACTTCCCAACTAATTGATGTAACAAGCTTACTCAACCCATTAGACGACAAAGCCGATTGTGATGAATTTACCCAATATCTCCTCAGCCTTGGCTACAGAGTGCTCCACAAATCACCAGTTGTTCACGGCAGGATTAGGAGGACGTCAGGGTAACAATAACAGAGCTCAAGAAGGATATTCCTGGTCTCTCACTCTTGGCTACTAGAGCCAGTGAGTTAGCGGCTGTGATCTGTTATAGGCCAAATTAGAATAAATATCCAGCACTGTGGGGGGTAGAGCGTGGCACTTATCTACGTACTGTGTGACTTAAGGCTGGACATGTAGGAACATTTTAACAACATGGTTTATAAACTAATTTGAAGTTAAAAACCTGGGATTGTGTGTCCATACATAAATAAGGATTGGGAAGGAGCTTTCTGCTACCAGCTTATATTATGGGATGATTTGCTGGAAGCTTGGAATGCTTGAAATTTAGAAAGCTACAAAAAGATTTGTAACTGCTTGGCATCCTTATGTTATTTTTTATAAAACTGAGGATAAATCCAGATGCAGGTCCAGATGTATATTTGTAACATGTATATTTATAACAAAGACAAATATTGGGTTTATTTTATTTATTACAGGTATTCATATAGCGCCGACAATTTACGCAGCGCTTTACATAGTTGCACAATCACATCAGTCCCTGTCCTCCAGGAGCTTACAATCTAATGCAATTCAGTACAGAAAACAAACAAACCTGTTAGGCCCCCTTCCCACCTAAGCTGTTTGTTGCGCAAAATCATTGCAAGAAACAGCTCCACACGAATCCCATTCATGTGTATGACCCCAGTGCACGTCAGCATTTTGTCAAGCAGAAATACGCCTGTCGCAGGAAATACTACATGAGCTACTTTGTGGCTAATTTCAGCGTGTTTTTTCACATAGACTCAATAGAATACGCTTGAAAAACGTAAGTTGTGATTATTTGCGCGTGTATTGTGCGTTTTGCTCATTGACTTGAATGTGCCAAAATCTGCTCATAAAAACACACGACTTAACATACGCACGTAAAACGCTCAAAAAAAAGACGCGCATTATACACGCAGAATAGGTGTGAATCCAGCCCTGCAGAAGCAAGAAATACAATTGCATTTTTAAGATACTCAGTAGGTGCCACGGTACTTACAACAAATCCCTTGACAATCTAGAATTAATCATCTGAAAATAATCAAACCATTTAAATGAATGTCTAAATGAATGTCACAGGCAGTAGATGTATGAAATGATATATAGAGGGGGGAGCATAAGGTAATGGGAAATAGTGCCTGAGGGGTAGGGTCAAAGTAGCCAGAGCGGATGATGAGGGTAGCAAAAGGGCAGGAAAAGTAATGGAAAGCAGGGAATGCAGAGTATAGAAGAGCGAGCACTTTCCCATCCATTCCATCCACCACACACAGTGCCTCACCTTCCCCAGGACGCTCTCCTATTGCAATGGAGATATGTGAAAAAGGGTCTCATACTCATGGGTTGAGGAAAACTCAATCCAATAAAAGTCTATCGTTCACACTGCAGGGCCCATACAACGTACTCAGAATATAAAAGATTGCTGGGGGAGAGAAGATTTTTTTGGCAGAAGAGA